TGACGGGGGAGGGGGGAGATGTTGTGGACTTGTGTAAGTGCTTGTCTTGCCTTGGCGACATGTGGATAACCGGTTGCTGACTTGGTGGTGTATAGTGCAACTGCGGTGCATTTTGGAACTTTGAGACGACGAACCAGTGTATGGACACTTGCAGCCATACGCAGTGTAGGAATTGCCGGACGTTTGAGAATGAGGCGACTAATGAGGAGATGAGTTTTGATTAAGAAAGCATTGCGATTGGGAGGAAAGATTTATTTTACTCTTCTTTTGTTTGGGGGGGGAGAGCATCTTGGATAGCACGCATCTCATCACTTTTTCGGATGGCCAGTTTCTTTCTTTTTTTTGTTTTTTTTTTTTGTTTTTTTTGTTTTCTTTTTTTGTTTTTTTTGTTTTTTTGTTGTTTTTTTTTAAACTTTGACATCATCATCTACGCAAAAGTGTGAACTACCTCTTTGTATCATGCACGGCATCTCATGTTTTTGTCCTTCGGTTGAGCAAGCGGGGGATTCTGGCATTTTTGGGATTGGGTATTTTTGGGAGGATTAACGATGGGTTTATAGAGATGGATGGGTGGATATTCAGGAGTACTAGCATTTTCTCTTGACTTGAATTTGATTGCATCTCACTTTTGCAGTTCATGTTGTCGTCATCTATGTAATAAGTAGGAAGAAACGTCTTAAAATCATGGTGATGAAAAGGGGACGACAAGTGTAAAATGATTTTGGTATTGTGTGAGAGGCGAAATGCAGGAGTTTGAACGAGGAGGGCAAATCTGAATGGTATCTGTCAAGTTTGATGGACCGGAACCCACCTAGATGGGACTGACAGAATTCAGGGCTGGAAATGGTGTCAGGAGAAACATAGGAAGCGGTGAGAGCTCAAGGCTACACGGCCCATGAGTAAGAAAGCTGAGATTGCAACCACCTCCAGCTTGGCTCAGCTACCTACCTACAACCTCTGATCATCATCATCATCATCATCATGACAAAATGATGGTTGTGAGGGTGAGGGTGGCAGCGGTAATTAGGCGTCTGTACCACCAAAACACACAGACGGGCGAAGTGATAAAAGGATGTATGCGTGTATGTCTCTCAGCCCAACAAAAGCCACGCGCGTTTAAAAAAAACTCCCCTGACCAACCGGGATGAATTTTGACCAAAATCTCTTAGGATGACCTTTTCGAGTTTCCTTTTTCGAGTGGCAGAGAAGGATTAAGCGCGGAGAAAGCAGAGGTCGGGGAGTGATCCCTGCTGGGTATCATGGTGGTGGTGGTGGTGGTGGTGGTGAAGGTTGGGATGTGTCCGTGGGGTTGGCCTCATGTTCGGCAATGTCTTGACCCGGCTGATGTCGGTTCAGAATTGAGTGAGATACTTACTTCCAAGCCTTCTCCAAGAAGTGTGGCTTGCTTTAGTGGCTGACAAAAAGAGTAAGAGGGGAGGGGGAATGCGGTGTGGGCTTAGTAGTGTACTGTACAGGTTGGCTGGGGAGAATATCCCTTTGGTAACAAGAAGAAGGATAAGATGCCCAGAGCGAAATAAGCCTTTGAGCGGAAATCAAAGTTGCGTGTTGACCGGATGCCGAGAAGGAAACAAGCCTGAGCTGGGGGGGACTAGTAAATAATGAAGCGGCAATGCCACACGTGATGGCTCAGGGCAGGAGTGTCAGGGGAGAAATAGTCTCTCTTTGCCCAGAGGAAAAAGAGACTTAACTGGGCTTTGCCCTGAGCTATTGCCCCCGAGTGTAAAAAGGGTCAGGTTTGGGCAAATTGCAGGCGATGTTACGTGCCCTGGGGGATGTCGTGATGAGCGCCGAGAGAAACGGAGCCTGAGCTGTGTTCGATAATGCTCGGTAGATCCGGTCCGGTACCAACGATTGGGGGTGCTCGAGGGTGTTTCCAAGCAATTCAATTCCTTTTGTTCTGTGTGATTGTAGAGACTGCGATCATGACTCGCGGGTGAGTGAGCAGGTGATCCTACTCACCTAGGCATGTGTTGAACTTGCAGCTTTTGACATGCACCTTTCAGCTGGCCCAGCCACACCAGATAGCCCAGATGGATGGATCTTCTTGATCGTTCGGTATTATCCTGCCGATCTTCTTCTGTTTGCGAATGTGGTGGCGTATAGCCGCATGAGTTTCTGGTCCCATTCAAGATATAATGTCTTGATGCTCATTCTGATGGTTGCTCGTCTTCGATGCCATGTTGGCCTTGGTGTGGTTGATTGATTCATGGTTCAATGATTACAGCAAAGGATTCTTCGAGTGGGTGTGACCGTGCGGTCAAACCTGGTCATTGTTCAGGTCGGCAAGATCTTGCCGTGCTGGATTGGTATCTTTTGGACAGCGACGTTTTTGTGGCGTTCCCTAGTGCCCTTTTCTTCGTATTTCGAGGGTCTTTTTGTGAACCGGTGGCTTGATAGCGCGAAGGGACAGCCCGCATGTGGAAGATAGTCAATGGGCACATAGTCGGACGATGTGATAGGCTGCTTCGTTTCGGTGCCTTTGGAGGGAGTGGTATCTGATGCCGGGATCGGGATGGATGTGGGATGGTGTTGAATTGATGACGGACGGATAGGTAGCCATGATGGGTCAAGATGAATCCAAATAATGAGTGCCAGCTTTGAAGACCTGGCCATAACTCGACTGATGATCCTCATCGCCGCCTGTGGTCCCGACAGGTCTGTGTTGACAACAGATCTTCCTGAGATGAGGTCTGATCCTGCATGTTCTCCCAGGAGGTTGTGTGTGTGTGTGTGTGTGTGTGTGTGTGCGTGTGTGTAAATTGCAGGCAAGATCCGAGATTCTCGGCCGGAGAACTGTCGTCCCTATGGCAGGTCTATACGTACCTACCTATCCAGAGCATCCATCCATCCATCATGGCGTTACTGCCCTTCGCACCCTCGTTTAGGACCACCTCCCACCCACATTGATCATCCACACGTGCGTTCTGGTGTCCAGAATGATACATCCCTCATTGTAGATGGTTACTTCAGTCTCACCTCACAACTCAGGCTTTCCATGCGGTGTGGATGTGTTTTGTCTGAGGATATTCTCGTCAATGAACTTTGTGGTGGCGATTCTCATGCATCCTAGGTCTTTGTCGGCGCCAAAGCAGGCCAAGAGCTTTGCGAGGCGAAGTTAGTAGGAAGATGGGGAGGTCGGGATGTTGTTTACATCTCTTTCTGGTGTTCGGTGTAGACCAGCCTTGAGCATTACACGATGCATCCCCCGACTAGAACAACCTTTTCGCGGCTCTTGACCTCAGCTGGTGGTGGCAAATCGTCTGGACGCTGCATACTGCGTCATCCACGGCGTTTAAACTTCACCTGATCAATGAAGAGGCAGGGAGAAAAGACCTTGGGGATGGTTGAGTAGGCGTCTAATTCGGCATCCCCCGTCCTCGCGCTTAAGAGCCTATGCCTATGGCGGTGGCAAAGTTGGAACATCGCAAGCCAATTCCATTGAGTAGATAGTTTTGTTCTTGTAGGCGTCAAGATGAGCATACGAAGATGGCCTTTGTGGAATGGTGGTGGTCAGGCCTCGTTACCACTTTGACACGAGGGTTGATGGTGTACGCACGGGGACGGGGACGTTGGGCCTCCTAAGATGACCTCGTCCATCGTGTACTTGGCGTCAAGGCTGCGAATTATAGACAGAGGTAGGATGTTGTGGGCTCTGTTGACCCATTCGTGTCCATTTACAGCTGGTAGAAGAGTGACAGGTGATTGCTATTCAGAATGGATTGTGTCTTTCTGTGCCTGCTCTCGGAATCTTCACCACTTTCCCCATCGATTTGGCAAGGCACTTGGCTTGCATCTAAACCGAAAGACGGGCAAATAACAAAATCCCGGTCACCAGATTAGAAGTATCATCTAGGGCTCTGATATCTTTGCCTCGTCGGTTGGGAGTGTAAGGAAGCCCTTTGCCCGATGAAGACACCCAGTTGGGATACCGACACCAAACAGAGATGGCAGTGAGTTCACAGCCGGCCCAGATAACCTATTTTGAGCGAACCGCCATGAATTTGGAATTCACCATGATGTAGGGTGGCTGGCCCGGCCACTCTCCCAAGAGACTCTTGAAGTCTGAGATCTCCAGATGCAGGGGTAAACCCTCAGGGGTAGAACAGCCATAAGACCCATGGCAGGATGGTGTAGCTCATGAGAGTGTAATTGGCATGTTTACATCGGGCTTGCATATGCGTTTCGACTGGGCTGGAGCCAAGGGCGCTCCGTCTGATCTCTCAACATCTGAAGAGATCTCGAGGTCGACATGGACGCGGCCATGACGTTATGGAGACTCGCCATTCGTTCTGGAAAGTGGAAGTCTATGCAAGAGCCAACCCCTGCTGCGCCCTTGGTCTGCTCTTTTTAGTTGTTTGTTTCATACGGCATTGACGCAGGCCCCCCCATATCCGATCAAAGGGACGCCATCAGGACGGATGGGTTGGTCAGATTCGCGGAGGGCCTTGCCTAGATGGAAGAATGTCGGTCGCGCCTAGACGGGCGCTTTTCATCACGAGACCAATGGGCCGGATCTAGGTGTGTGGTAGAGGTGTCTGTCCAGCTTCGATTGTCATTTGTGAAAGGAGGCCCGTCGTGGCGGCCAAGGTCAACAACCCATGTGAGACGTAGCTTCTTGACCGTTTTGTCTTTTTGGTTTTTGTCATTGCTGATGATCTCTTGGCAACGGGGTGTCGCCAGTTGGTGAAGTTGTTCCCTCGGAAGTGTTTGGCTGATCAGTTGGAGTTACACGGCGGGGTGCATGCAAAGAACAAGGCGACCACAAGCACCGTCACCACCACCGTCGCCTTGCCAGGCTTCCCCCTCCAGTGTCGCAGCGGCAGTCTTAC